GTTTGGTTGCAATTAGAGAAATTCAAAATTCACAGGAAGTGGATGAACCAATCACTAAAGTTAAGGACAGTGTAACATTGTTTAAACAAAGTACAGTAGCTAACAAAAAATTAAAGTAAGGAATGAATTAAAATAACAGTTAATCTAAATACAGTAAAACCTCAATTATCCGGACTAATTGGGGATGAAGGTAGTCCGGATACGGAAAAATCCGAATAATCGAAACAAAAACTTTAATGTGTCTTTTAATGATAATACAACACGTTTTCTTTTCGATGACATATCGGTAATATTAAAAATAAATACTATATTTAAATCGTGATCAAATTTTCAAGAAACAAACGTTCGTATTGAATTTGGACTACTACTGACCAACGCTAACAGACTACCTATTGTTTAAAAGGCCCTCTGGTGGCGCAAGAAGACGGATTTTATAAAATAAAAAGCAGTTGAAACTGCATTTTTATGAATAAAAATTTGACAAACTATTTATCGTTTTATGATGAATAAAATTTTTTCATTGCATTTGCGGCTTTTAAGTAATGCATAAACCTTCAAGGAGCGAGGCCCTTCGGACCACGAGGCATAGGCGGTGGCCCATGTCGTCCATGCCTTACGTTGCCCTTGGTCATAGAAATGATATAATTTGAATATAAATTATTTATAAATATGTATGTCAAGTTATATTTTTATTACGACGTGAAATATATTTAAGAGTTTACGACTACTGTGCTGGGTGAGACACTGTTGAAACAAAAAAAGTTATGCGTTCCATCACGTACACATAAAGAGTGTCGTAATTTGCCAAGTGCAAATCAGCAAATTCGTAAAATTTTTGTTTATTTTGAACAATCCGGATAATCGAAAATCCGGATAATAGAGGTTCTACTGTATATAAAATTACTTGTCCTGACTGACTGACTGATTCGTCATCGCACAGAGCAAATCGCTGAACCTAGATGTGAAATTTGGTACACAATTAGGGTATGTCATGAAAACGCACAGTAAGAAGGGATTTTTCAAAATTCCCCCGCGTGGTTAAGGCTTAAGCTGAAGAACAACTTCTACTGTACTATTTTAGATGCAATTTTTTGTTTTTAACTACGTTTAGTCTTCATTGAGTACTTAGGTGTATTAAATTGATAACATTTCAGACATTGTTATAAATATTTTTATATATTTCAAGTTTTTAACCAAATGTTTGAATCGTTTCAAATTCAAATTTGTTATTGCATATTGGTTTGATTATAGAACGATTGTAAACTTTCCAGAAAATTTATCAAATTGAAAACAGTTTGTTTGATTCTCAGCAATTCTCATCATTCTCAGAGGTAGGTGTTAAATAACAATTACTATGGTTGTTGAAATACTGAATATAAATGGAGTTTGTTTGCAAAATCCATGCGGGCAAAGTCACAGGTAACAGCTAGTACAAGACATTTCAGCTGGAAGGAATTCAAAATATTACATGCTAGTTAGATTTTTACAGCTTGACCCATCACTAATGAAATTATTAACTAGCATGTTTTGGCACCTGTGATCACAGCTCTATAGATTTAATTGCTAAAAGAAATTTGTGGAAAACATCATTACACAGTCAGTTTGGTTATTCCATGAACAGTATTTTGAGAAATATTCATATTACATCAAAACATTACAATGCTTAGTATTGAAAGAGTGTAATAGTTGAATTAATATTGCTGAACATTGTTATTATTAGGCAACATTATTAAATCTACAGTTTAAAAAAATTCACTTCTAGCATCTTATGGCTTGCTCTAAAGGTATAAATAATTAAAGAATCTTATTAGCAAGACTATATTAATTGATGAGCATGAATCAGAATCATCAGACTTAGAGAACAATAGCAAGAAGTGAAAAAACATTATTTGTGTTTCTAAGAATTATCCAGGCCCAAGCATATGTCTGAATAGGTGATAGGAAGGTCCTATGGGATAAGCCAATTTAAATTAAGGAGTCATAAGATTACTTGCTTTTTTAGATTTTTAGAACAATTCTAAATTTATCATGTTGCTTACAACATCAACAATGTTTAGACATGGATTCTGAAATCTTTAAATCTTTTCATTTAAGAAAATTGCACAATTTGATGAGATGTAAAAAGAAAAATATAATAGTAGAATTAATTAGACTCCAAAATTTTCTTCAGATTAAACATTTTTGGGATTACACATCTTATCATCAAATCCTACATAAATTTGAACAAGAATGTCAAAGATGAGTTCTAAAGTCTTTGAGCATTTGGAAATTTCAAAGATTCATTTAAAAATTTGAACACACAACAGACTGTAAAACATACTTAAAAAAAAAAAAAAAAGAGATAGTAGCTTTATGTTCTCTCCTTCATTGAGCATATCTATACTCTTTGATGTCCATTGGATGTCCTGTGAAAGGATTTTAATTTCACCAAAAATACAGTAATTTCTTTCAATTTCTAATGCCAACTAAAATGTAATCTCAGTTCCAGAATTCTTTGTAAGATTTGTTTACCAGTGAAAACCAAAGACAAGCCAGATAAGACAAAAGTAGTCAAGAATCTCACAGTAATAGAAGTGAAGTCTACTCAATTGCTCCATAAACACCTGAAGATCCAAAAAGTCAAGATTACCATGATCTGTTCATCTACCATCTATGACCTAGTAAGAAATGAAAAAATCCGATACAAGAATTGATCTCTACTAAGAATACTGCATCTGTTTGGCAAGACAGATTACAGTACTGATTGCTAAACATATACCCATCCAGATGGCCAAAGAACATAATCACAACCACAGAGCCCATCCTAAACAAATGGAAAGAAAACTTAGATCTTGATCTATGGATATGAATAATAAACTTTACAACCATCATAAATAAAAATATATACTTAATGCCAATAATTATATACAAAATAAACAATGCTGTCTTTCTGCATTAAAATTCTTTAACGATAGTAAAAAAGCACTTTAACAAGTACAAAAAATTAGCAAGTACAGTACTTTCAACTCATTGATTTAAACTTTCAAATTTATTGATGTCTTCAGGCAATATAGAATATTTTAAAAAAATATATATACCATTGGAATACTCATTTGACCAAAAAAGAATGTGTATGTAAAAAATAAAATTCTAAAAAACAATGGAGTCAGAACTTATTACTAATCTTTACTTAATTATACTATAAACAAGTACATGATAATTTAAATTTCCTTTCCTTTCTGACTTGTGAAGGATTATCAACCTCTTAACTCTAAAACATTTAATAAAAATGAAGTAGAATCAAAAATTAAAGGTCAAAAAAACAAATCAGTTTCCAGCAAAGAGAAACACTTTATTATTACTGTAAACTTCCCCCAAATGCATTTCGCCAGCTACACTGGCCTCCTCAGTAGGGTTAATTAAAGTACACAATAAAATTTAATTTTCCAGTTACGACATATATCCATAAGTCACTTATGGATATTTGTAACTGGAAAATTAAATTGTATTGTATACTTCAATTAACCCTACTGAGGAGGCCAGTGTAGCTGGCGAAATGCATTTGGGGGAAGTTTACAGTAATAATAAAGTGGAAACTGATTTGTTTTTTCGACCTTTAATTTTTGATTCTACTTCATTTTTATTAAATGTTTTAGAGTTAAGAGGTCGATAATCCTTTACAAGTCAGAAAGGAAAGGAAATTAAAATTTTCGTGTACTTGTTTATAGTACAATTAAGTAAAGATTAAGAATGTGTGTTCTTTTTTATCTTCTGCTATCTACAAGCAGTATTTTGTATCTACAAACCATCACTAAAATAGGGGTCTAATTGATCAATGAGTGTCACCTCTCATAAGAGTAGACTATCTGACAATCTATAATGTTAAACTTTCCTAATTTGTCTGATTTGTGTTTTTTCTTTTAATTCAGCTTTATTTTTGTTTATTATTTATTGTTTTTAATTTCATTGGTTCCTGTTTATCTCATTGTTATTATTATTATTACTTATTTATTTATTCAACTTTGTTTTACAGTCTGTTATCAATCAAACTTTTAAACATGTCTGAAATTTCCAAATGTTCAAAGACTTTAGAATGCATCTTTGATGTTCTTGTTCAAATTTATGTAGGATCTGATGATAGGATGTGTGGTCCCAAAAAACATTTAATTTGAAATAAACTTAATTGATTATAGCATTATACTTTTCTTCTTACATTTTTATTTTCTGTGTAACAAGTTAATTTTCAAATTCTATAACAAATTAATTTCCAAACCCCTTTAAAAAAGAACATATCAAAATTTAACTTTTCAATATTTTGGACATCTATCCAATTTCAATTTCAGGTATTTTTTCATATCTCGTCATTTTAAAAATTACTATATGAGAAAAAAAAATTAATAAAATCATCAAACTTACTTTAAAGAGGTCAACTATTGATTGCTGATAAACTTTTCAAAGCTTCTTTGTCAATTCAAAGTGAGATTTTCCTTTCAAACTGACAAAAGTTAAAATGGAATAGCAAAAATTTGAATCTATGATCTGATGAGGAAGTAAAGAAACTTTGAAAACATTTATCATCAATCAATAGCTTATCATTTTAAAATATATTTAATGATTTTATTATTTTAGAAAGATACAGAATTAATGAAATATGTAAGTCAGATTTTAAGCTGCAAAATTAAATAAATTTCTATATGAACTTTGCTGACAAATAAAATATGCCACAATTTACAATTAGGCTAGTCTATAATTTTTTATTTTTGTTATTTTTCAATATTATGTTTATTTATTTTAACACTCTAAAATTAAAAAAAAAAATTTAAATTATTCATATAAGTTTTAAAATAAAACTTTTTATAAAATTAAATCTCATCTCAATTAATTACAAACATAAAAATTTGTTAAATCACATAAATTATGATTCAAAATTAAATCATTAATCATCATGCAACCATTCCATATGATGACAAATTTTTATATTATTTTACCTATCCATATTCTCAATATTATAATAAACTTACCAATTCTGCATGTACTGTTGCTTCTTCTATGTATTTTGCAACTCCAGTAACAAATGCATTTCTATCTTCAAAGTTAGTATCAAAATTTGCATGATAAACTATACTACAAGGCTGAGCTTCTATGCAGGGTTGTTGATCTGGCAGAGGTAATTCATCTAACACATCAACATTTGAAAGAGCATCAGCTAAAGTTACTTTTTCAGCAGCCATTTTATGTAAAATTAATCTGGAAATAGCATATTTAATATTAAATTATATTTTTGTACATATACTGTTTATATCAATTAAATAGTGATATTTAATCATGTGATTTTTACATACAGAGAAGACTATTCTATTTTGCTTTAGGAAATAGAAATAATGTATCTATAAATACATCAATTAAATTTAATATGATTTTTTATTATGCATTTTTAATAACAGATCATAGAATAAACAAACTTATAGATAATCTATTTTTACTTTATTACAACAATCAAAAATAAAAATATCAAAAATGCATTTTTTATACAAATAAATGCAACTGTCTCTATCACTGATTGGCTACTTAGAGGTATCACTAAAAATTGTCTATTACAAAGGTGATCTGCTTTAGAGATTTCACTGTAATTACTATAATTAGCCAAATTTTAGCCCAATAGTTATTGGACTAATTATTGTGCCTTTAACAGAGGATTTTTGAAGAATGCTAACATTTTTAACCTGGTTAATGAATCATCCTCAAGCATCAAAAATCAAAAATAGAATGAATCCACTTTTGAATTTCAATGCCTGAGGATGATCCATTAACTGGGTCAAAAATGTTAGCATTCTTCAAAAATCAAACTGTTAAAGGTGCAGTAATTAGTTCAGTAGGTTATACACTAGCTACTATATCATCTTCACCCAATAGTTAATCTGGCTCTATCAGTTGATTATTATTCAGTTGACTAAACTAAAAAATCTTCAAGTCTCTAGTTTCTTTATGATGAAATCCAGCTTTATTTTAACAAATTTATATATTCCCTATTCATCTAGTATTATATAAATTCAGCATCTTATTTATCTTCATGTAGGCTTATCATTAATTTTCTGTTATGCTTTATTTCATCCTGTCTTCTTTCTTTCTCTTTTATTTGGTATCTTAATATTATAAACTGACATAACAATAAAAGATCATTAATTAAAAAGTTTATAGGCCTTATATCAAAGGAAAAATAAATAAACTATACAGTATTTATTAGAAAATAAAAAAAAAAAACAAAGATAAAACACAATATATTAAAACTTTGTCAGAAATAAAAATATAATATAATTTTCTTATTATATAACTAAATAACTAATGGTAAATAATCATAATTTCTGTTATAACAGCTGAATGGCCAAGGCAGTTAAGACATCAGCCTACCACTTTGGAGATCAAATACAGGGATGGGGAATCGGTGGAAAAATACGACTTCCAACTTGGTATTTTTTTTTTTTTAAATTGACTCAGACTCCCATAAAAAGATTTCATCTCCTTGACTCCCGACTCTCCATTCAAGGTTAAGGAGTTGGCAGAAAAATACACAACTCCCAAATCTATATTGTTTAAAATTAACTCAGATATAGATCTTTAATAAAAATATTTAACTCCTCAACTTCAACTCTCCAACCCTGATCAAATAGCCAATGTAAGGCCTATCCCTCACCACACCATGATGGATAAGGAAAATTGCCCTCTTAAGGCTGGTTTACACAATATAACTATTGCTGACATTTTGTCACATCCAAAAACACATTGACAAGATTTGTCAACATGTTTTTGGTGAAACATCTGAATCATTGTCAATCTTGTCAATGATTCAGATATTTACACAATGCACTGGAATATGATCTGTAAATTGTTCTGAGTATGTGCAAGAACATTTTTCTCTTGAGAGTGGTAAGAACACAATCTAACATATGATTTTGATCTTGTCTTTGAATAGTTTGACAATGTAACAATGAGTAAAAACTCTGACAGATTAGATTTTCTGCAACATGATTACAATTTGTTCATATTAACAGTTTACTCAAAACTGGATAACTTCCACATAAATTCTCACTAACCTGTCAAAACAGTCCTGTTATTTCAACAAACCTCCATGTTAAAAACATCTGTATGTGGGGAGAATATCAAAGATATGGAAGTACTTGAAATTTTCAATGCAAACAGGAAAGGAACTGCATTAACAACAAAGAAGAAAAATGACCTCGAAAACATAGCAAACATGCTTTGACACATTATAAGCTCCACATCAAGAAATTTCGTAATGTGCATGATAGCAAAAATTAAAAGAACATTCCAGTATTCCAAATTCTTGATGAATACCTTCCAGTAGTTCCAAAACATTAGATGATGTTATTTTTGACAAATGCTGGATTGTTTTGACAGGTTAGTGAGAATTTGTGTACAACTTGTTCAACAAAGGTCACCAATAAGTCATGATCTTTTTCAAATAAAGCCTTTCAAAACCATATAAAATTGTTTTAAGAGCTTTTAATTTCAACTTTTTAGAAGAAAGTTTTTAAATCTAACTTTACTTCTATTTATCAGTTTTTTTTTTAAATTTGTTTTAAACCTTATCCAACTTGTAATTTTTACCCATCTGCAGCAACCTTTTTTAAACAAATTTTATCCAGTCAATTGCCCAATTTTTTATTTCAATTTGTATTTAATAATAAGCCTGTATCTGTACATAAAATAAGGACTGAAAAGGGATCATTAACCTCTTAACGCCCATCCAAAATGCATTTCCATTAATAAAACCTATATCAATAAGAGTTCTGTTAGGATCTTAGAGTGTAAAGATCTCTAATTGCGAAATTTCCATTTAATCTCTCACAAGAATTACAAGCTGGTTGGTTATAACAGTCTGGACTGGACTCTGGTCATGTCCTGCTTGTCTAAATGACCCAAACAAAAGACATCCCCAAACCTCGCACCTACACATAGGTATAAACTGATCGGACTCTGGTTTTTAGGTTTTCACACATGCAAAAACGATCAACCCAACAAGTTCCTTGTGTGATAAGTAGACAGTGGACATATAGGCCCTTAAAAGTGGCATTTTAGGTGCTTAAAATAAGCTCTTAAATTGCATTGTTTAGGCTTTATAAACAAAAAAATAGGCTGTCAAAATTTGCACAATAAACAATTAATGTACAGTACTTATCAGGACGATGAATTTTTTATCTAACATATGTATTCCAAACAAAAATGCACGTATTCAGAATGATGCAAACACAAAAGTAGACAAATTGCAACGTTTGTCACTGAGAATTAATTTATATGCAGAGAAAGCATATAATCCATTATCTTCAGTGGAACACATCTACTGAAGATAACAGACAATATTTCAACCTTGGAAGAAGATGAACTGGGAATTTACTTTCAGTTTTGCTCTTCTTTCCTGCCAAAATATCAGCCACAATAAACAAGCACTTTAATCCAAGTCTCTTTTGAAGCACTGCTTTCAACTCTTTCTTCACTTTTATTTGCAGCAGTGCCTGGTGCATCACAAAGTTTCTGCTTTGCTCTGTTGAGGAGATCAATTTGATCATATATAGGTTTTCCACTACTTTCAAGAGCAGTAATAGTATCTGCAATGAATGTGAAATAACACTTCATGTACTGTACATCAAGTTGTTATGAACATGTCATTCAAAATTTTCTTGGCTTTAGTTATACAAACTGCATTGTCCACTAAAGTGGCCAGAAGTTTTTTGATATTGAAGAAATATTCACTGTAGTAGTTAGTACAAAATCTTAGCCATGTATATGCTAAGGGAAAAATAGGCATTTACCTAAAATCCACTGTCAAAAATGACAAATAAAGCATCTCTAACGCTNCCTATGGTAAATCGATAATCGGTTAACGAACAATTCGGATAGCAAACAAAGTCTTGGAACGGATTATGTTCGTTAACCGATCACCCACTGTATTTATTTTAAAATATTTCATATAGTTTTAATTTTATTACTATAAAATTGCATTAGGGGGTGTAATTTATTTCTGTTATTATTGCATTCTAATTTTTCAGCTTGGGATATGCCTCCACTGGGACTTAAATATAAGTAATCAATAATAATAAAAAAATGAATCTGATTGCATTTTCAGGAAAAAAAATGAAACTTAAGCAGTTTAATTTAAGAATTAAAGTAAACCGTTGCAGAAAATGAAACGAAAAATTAATAAAAACTTTTTAAAAATATGAAAACAAACTAAACTTTGTGTTTTAGGCAAAAATAGGCAGCAACATCAAAATAAGCTTTGTTAGACATTATAAAATACCATTGTTTTGGTCTAAATGTTCATGAAAATCTTAGCCATGTACATTATATGTCAAGGAAAAAAATAGGCATTTGCCTAAAATCCACTGTCTAGTGATAAGTTACTGAGAAAAGGCCAAAAACTTTAGCTTTTTAAAAAATGCAAATGACAACTCTGTGTGAAAAAATATTTTAATAAAATATCACCAATAAATACATTTTCATGAGTTTTATTTCAATTATTTTATATTATTTCTCTGTGAATAAATATTGTTCTATGGTGTCAGATGTCAAGTACCTATTATTTATATCTATTTACTACAAATATACTTGTTTCTGACATCACAGATAAGACTGAATTTTACAAGATATAGTGGGTGATCAGTTAACGAACAATTTAGACTGCGAACAAATTGGACAACGAACACTTTCACAAAAAAGATTTTTATACGTTCAGACAACAAACACATATTCAGATAACAAACACCTAACAGAACAAACACAAGAAGTGATGCTGCATTTAAGATTTGTAAAACTATATTTTAATGGCATCTATGCATGGTTTATGGAACAAGACTTTCACAGTTATATACATAACCTTTTTTACACTAGTTAATTTCTGTTCTCCAAATTTTTGTAAGTGCTTTTCTGAACTTTTTACTTAAAAAACTTATAATATTATGGGGCCTAAAAAGAGTGGAGTGTCGAGAACTTCATTCATCATAGAAACTAAGCAAGAGATAATAGCCAAGGTAGAGAGAGTGGGAAGAAGATGTCTGATATTGTGGGCAGATGACTTCAACAAGTCTACAGTAGATACACTCTTAGCTAAGATATAATTAAAAAGACTCAAGCAGATAAAGAAGTGACAAAAATTGCATCTGAGAAACAAAGATGCAAAACTGGAGAGATTGCTTTTAGTTTGTTATTACATATAAATAATCATAGTAAAAAGGTATATAATTTTTATTTATTTCTTGGGAGTCTCCAAAATGAATTTATCAAATTCCCACAAAAATCTATGGTAAATTGATAATCAGTTAACGAACAATTCTGATAGCAAACATGGTCTTGGAATGGATTATGTTCATTAACCAATCACCCACTGTAATTCATATATGGCTTCTGACAATAAATTAGCAACTATATTTTAACTGGTTTATGAAGTCAACATATTAATGAGATTTAAATTCAGATTATTGGTTAATAGTATTAACACATCATTATTGTCACATTTTGATCATTAAAAAGCATTTGATTAATATTGAACTACAATTGGCTTTGTTATCTTTCTGTAAATATTAGTTACATCTGCAAATCACATCATTTGTTATAAGTAATAGATAAAACATATTTTCATATAGTTCTTATTTGATTTTAATAACATTTTACAATTTTTTTTTCAATATGAAATAATCACTGAATTTCAATCAAATTTGAATCCACTCAATATCATAACAGACACATTACCCTAATAAATCAGTACCTTTATAACTCAATATATATTAGCATAATGTAAAATACTAGTATGACAAAATTTTTTTGAGAGTTTAATTCCTGTGTCTTCTGAAAACGTGTCTTCTTTTATGTGTTTTTATCTTCACGACTAGGTGCATAGACACAGAGCATTTCTACATCTTTATTCGGAATATCCTGTAGTCTGATATGACTTCTGGGATTTCTTGTAGGTAGTGCTGACACGTATACATTATGTTTAACTGTACGTTTCTATATTCAACGGTTGACTCAACAGTGAATTTTCCATTGAGTCCCGCCATTGAACGATCTGACGTACGTTTTGCAGAAAAAAGAAATGCTTTCGTTGAGAGGTCGCTTTTCAAGAGAGCTGACTTAAGTAACAAGAAGGTGGCGATTGTGACTGTTTTGCTAAATAATTAAAGTAACTCACTTAGCCATTATTCGAATAGATCCTTTTATTCAAATAAACCCATATCTGTATCATTTTCTTGTATACTGGGTCTTTCTTTAATAATTTTAATTAATTTCTTGAATATTTATATCATTAGGAAAAATTAGAGAGCCAAATATCGATCGTAATCAATTTTGGACAAATGAAAAAATCTTAATATTTCAATATTGACCAAATTATCCAACATAATCGTGCAATTACATGTTTTATCATATACAGATCGTTCATTCATCTGTCCACTATTACAGCATCCACAGCAGCAAATGGATAGTTTCTGTAAGCAAAATTTACTTTTTCATGAAAGTCGCCATGTTAGTTTGTTGAATACTCAATGGTCTTTCAGGTCATTGAGACTGTTGAGTTCAACAGTGAAACAGCGCTGACATCACTAGTCTCAACGAAGAAATGAATGGTCTATTTAGAAACATTGTTCTCTCACCATTGAGTCAACCGTTGAATGTAGAAACGTATGGTAAAATTACTTATTTACAGTTAAAATTGTTTTACTGTTAAAATACTATTATAATTTAAAATATATTTACAATTAAAAGTATTATTATGTATTCGGGACCTTATGCCCGAAACGTGCAGTTGTCAATGTATCAACTAAAAAGTGATGGAAATAAAGCCAAGTGTTTATTTAAAACTCACATTTGAGTTTGAAGTCCAATATATTTAGTAAACATGGTTTCAAAAACAACATAGTATTATTACAGTTAAGGCTTCTTGACTTAACATCGAACATATACTATGAGTATATGCTAGATGTTCGATGTTAAGTCAAGAAACCTTAAACTATAATAGTATTTTAACAGTAAAACAATTTTAACTGTAAATAAGTAATTTTAAATGGAATGTATATGTGTCAACACCACCTACAAGAAATCCCAGAAGTCATGCTAATAGATGAGGGGCTTATCCCCGAAACGCGATTCAGCCTATAGAATATTCCAAATAAAGATGATATAGAAATGTCCTGTGTCTATCTATGCACCTAGTCATGAAGATAAAAACAGTTTAATTCCTACTAATAAGTTTTATTTTATGATTAATAAATTATTAAGATTATNTCAGCCTATAGAATATTCCAAATAAAGATGATATAGAAATGTCCTGTGTCTATCTATGCACCTAGTCATGAAGATAAAAACAGTTTAATTCCTACTAATAAGTTTTATTTTATGATTAATAAATTATTAAGATTATCATTTATGACAAAAATAGAGATCATTCACAAACAGAATATGATCTCTATTTTTGTCATAAGAGATAATTTTAAAAATCAGTTCAAACTCTCAAAAAATTCTGTCATACCAGTATATTTATATTGTCAAAACAATTATCAGACTTTTTGTTTATTCAAAACAGAATAATTCTGCAAAATTACACCATTTTTTTTTATAATATTAATTTATAAATGCATTAATTTTGAATTTAAATGTACAGTATATTAACTTTTGTATAATAATTCTTGATGTTTAGGTCCCATTTGGTACTTAAAATCAAGAATTATTCAATGTAGGCATATTATTATTCTATGTATTCAATGTAAGATTATTAAATAATAAACATGAAATAAATGAAAAATACTTGATTTCATTTTTGTAAATTGAAAGTAACATTCTTATAATAATTATAATTTAATCAAATGCAATACATTATATTAATATTGAATTAAGCTTACAAATTTCACAAAGTTCAGAAATAAATGTCAAATATACAACAGCATGAAATTCATTAAATTAAAAACAAAAAATCGGGCCTATCAAATCGATAATTGTCCTTACAAATTAATTAATTGTGTCCTTGTGATTACTAATACAATATCCTATACAATATCAACCAAGCACTTCGTATAATTAATCAAGCAAATTTTTAAAATTATTATTACTATTAATTTTTAAATTGTTTGCTTACATTAATTATTGATGCAGCAATAACTAAATCAATTAAAAATAAATGGAACTTTAAACATTATCCGAGACGACTCATTTTTCTCTTCCACTTGACAAACTTCCGCACCTAAAAGTGTTGCTAACGCCACCTGAAAAATTCGTACTTATTTTAATAAAATATATTTTTCTATAATAAATTAAAATAAATACATATTTATTTATTTTGTAAAAAGATACGAATAAAATTTCTAATCTTACTGGCGTTCTAAAATTTATAATTTTTTTTTTCAATTTTGATTCGTTTGACCTTGCGGGTACTAATTATGAGTATGGTCAGGCCACAATGGGGCGACCGGGTTTTTTAAATTAAACTCTTTCCGCATTGTGGGCATTAAGAGGGCTTCTTTTTTAGCAAGTTCATTATGAGTTCGGCCAGGCCCACAATGAAGCGGCCCGGTGGTGAGGGACGGGAACCGACATATCCGGTTGGACGATCTCCCGAAAAATTCCTGGGGATTTTTCGACCCGCCCGGATTCGATCCCTGGTCCTCCAGAGCGGTGGCTGCCAATTTGACCGCTCGACCATCTGACCGTCAAAAGAAGCGACAGGGTAGTAAAAGACGGAACCTGACACATCTAGGACGAACTATTCCTCTGAAAAATTCCTGCGTTTTTCTACCCCAGACAGATAAGCTGCATCTTAATCGGTCGACCATTCGGCTCTACTTCTAAGAGCCTAATAGAGTGATCGTCAAAAATTCAGGAAGAATGCTGAAAATTTACCGCGAAATTTATTCTGTTGAAAAGTATAAATTTCTATTGTAATTATAAAGTTGTGTTCGATATGACTACATGTTTTAGAGCGAGAAGTCACGAAACTTCAAGTACACTTTCCAGAATGCGAATTTTTTTTATACAACCAGGATAAGTAAAAATGATGTCAGTTCACGATGTGTAAAACTTTTCATTTTAAACAAACAAGTAATTTTATTTCTTTGTTCTCAATTAAGTTTTTGGCTTCAAATGCAATATTTTGTGTGTTTGTGAAAAATTTGATATCACTGAAATGTCTACTACTTTTTAACTTAAATGTGAATTTTGTACCAAATTCTTCTATAAATATAATTTTTTTTTTTTTAATTTACAAACATTTTACAAAATTTTAAAGATTTAAAATTAAAAATTAAAGTTGTTTTCAATTTTGTGATTTTATAGTTACACACAATACATACAAACTTCTACACATTCATATAACTACGTATTAATATATTACCAGGGCTGTGAAGTCGCGTAAAAATCTACCGACTCCAACTCCGACTCCTACTCCGACCAGGGGGGAACTTGTTACCGAAAGAGACCCGAAAATTCTGGTGTCATCATGTGACCTCAGAATAAAAGATTCAATAAATAGAGTTCTAATAAAGATAGAACATAGAAACTTTTTATTTCAAAGCTAAAAGACTCCTCTAAGTAATATATACATAACAATTTGGTAAGTAAAAAGGAGTCGGAGTCGGCGGATTTTTTTACGACTCCGGCTAAAACACCAAAACTCCACGACTCCGACTACACAGCCCTGAATATTACATAAAACTTACAAGACAAAGTTGGGTCAGCCATAAGCTGTCTTTTACACAAATTCAACTTTCCAAAATAATTAAGAAAAGCCTATAATTTATTATTATTATTATTATTTTAACTAGATTTTAAGTATTTTCCAGTATTTTTTGCATAATTGTTTGATTTCTTACGAAAGAAATGTCTATCCACTTTTATCTGGTATTTATATGCAAACATATTGATACATTTTTTTTGTATGAATTATTTATATTGATTTTCGTATTTAATAAACTTATTTATTACTTTTACCATATATCTACCGTACTTTAAACTCTAATACTGTATTTTATTAAACTTACTCAGCAATTCATAATAATTTCTAGAACAAAAACTAAATATAGAAAGAAACGTGACTAATTGAACAATTTTCATAATCAGTCGCATAGTTAAAAATAATAAAAATTCCGTATATTCTTGTAAAATTATAACACCAGTAGAATTATAAAAGATTGGTGATGAGACAGTTTGAAAGGGCTTGGAAAAGTGGCTGATTTGAGAGGCCCCAGACGCAATTCAATTTTGAGACCCCCTCTAAATATTTTCATTACTCCTCCACCCTAAAGTGTGCATTCTACGCGCACGTTTTTTACTCTGGTAGGCAGTATACCAGTGGTCCAAAAAAAGTGAGACATAGGGAAATAACATTGCAAATTAACCAATATAAAATTACAACTGCCTGGCTGTAATTAATTAAAAGGTTACTGATGTTCAGATTGTATTAATTATGAAAATTGAAACATACTGTATTGGTACAAGAATTAATAAGTTTCGATAGGTAAAAGTGTTTAAAACAAAAAAAGTCTAGTAATCTATGGATATAAAAAAATAATTTATTTTTAAATTTATTGCTGATTTTTATTTTGAGAGCTGAATTTTGAGACCCTATTGATTTATGAGGCCCTAGATATGCGCCTTGTGCTCCTGTGCCAAATCCGCCACTGGCTTGGAGTAATGTGTTTCCAACAACTTGAACAGAATAGAAGGTGAAGTGTTCAAGGAGACTGAAGACTATAATGGCAATGAAATAGGAATGACGACAATGAAAGTTCTGATGGAGATGAAAGTGATGAAGTATTGTTCCAATGACTTTCCAAATATTTTTATGCAAATTACTAATCTTTTGTATTCAAATAATTCTCAATTCTTACATTCGAATACTCCCATTTTTAGTTGGAATCACTTTGGCTTAATTCGAATTTAGTTTAGTAATAACATTTTAGTTACTTTTCCGGCTGTTATATAAAACAGAGGGAAAGTATGACAATCAGTCAAAAATGACCGCTAAAATTTTTACATTTTTGGACTCAGGAAACCTTGAAACATCGAGAAATGTAAAAAAAAAAAAAGGTCAGGTTTTTCTGTATGTATTGTTGTTAGCAGGAGCGAATCTACATAGGGACTAATAGGGCTTTAGCCCTGAGCTCCCAAGTGTCAAGGACCCACAAAAATTGAATTATTATCATAAATTTTTTAATACTTTTTCCTTAACAATGAGCACTTATCGTATAGTAAAAAATAGTTAATATTAATAATATAATAATAATGATAATTTATAGTATTATTTGTTTTATTGTAATGAATGTAACATAATTGGTCAAGTTGAAATTTTAAATCCACTGTCTCAGAATTCGAATACTACGAAAAAACTAATAATAATGGCCAGCCTGCCTTATAAGGCAATGGCAATTCTTAATCTAACAAAAATGGGGCCCCATTGGACTTCAATACACCGTAGGATATGAAAAACCTAGATCCGCCCCTGAATGCAACCTTAACTTTTTCAAATAATAAATTTTTATCACACATAAACAAAAAACTACTGACAGAAATATATGTACATGTAAAAGAATTACTTATTCTATTTACAATCAAAAATAATAGAGTTGCAAAAATATAAGGCCAGTTACATTTTTGAGCAATTTATCAAAAGAAAACTCACTATCACCTATAATTTGATAACTATAAAGAGATGGCAGCACTCTATTATTGCAAATAAAAACATAATTAAATTTATATCATTATTAATTGTTGTGATACCTCTAACTATTGTTAAAATTACTTAAGACCTAAACTGCCTTTGATTGTGGCAAATCAGAGCACTACATCAAGCTGGAAGTTCTGCTAGAGCTATTGCAAAGTGACTGAAAAGATCCTGTTGTGTTGTATCAGTCATATTAAACTTAATGTGTAATGTGGAAAGAAAAAACAAATAGGATGGCCTTCCAAGTTGACAAGAAATCAAAAATCAGCAATTACGCAGGAAATATCAACAGCAGGATCATAATTAAGTGAAATGGCAGAAAGGCCTGATCTTAATATTCCAAATCCACACTTTTCCAGATGGTGAAATCAGCCAAACTCCTACTGTATAAAAATAGAAAAGCAGCACCATATCTAAAACACTATCAAAACAAAACAGACTGATATGGGCCAAAGATAACATGTCACACACTTCAAAATGATTATTTGGACTGATAAAAACAAAAAAAGTTCAATTTGAATGATCCCAACAGTTGACAATTTTATTGATACAATATTAGGAAAAGGGAGATTTTATTTACCTAGTGTCACCAAAAAGGGAGATCAGTTATGATCTGAGAATGCTTTGTATGGTCTAGAAAAATTAATTTAACATTCATAAATGATTGAAAAAAGGCAATTGAGTATCAAAACCTTAAAAATGTATATGTTCTGCCAGTTGGAGANCGGTTTTTTTTTTTAAATTTCTCGACGTTATGACATTTCAGGAGTCCAAAAATGTAAAAAATTACAAAATTCTGATGTGTATATTTTGCATTATAATCGTGATGAACCAAAAATTTTGAAACTTTGCAGTATTACTGTATTTGTATATATGGGGGATCGATGCTATTAAAATTTGGTGGTTAACATCTCGGGCATTCGGCAGTCTAAATAAAATAGTAACAAAGTTATTTAAAAAAAGTTAAATTGTGGAGGACCTTCCACATCCACGTTATATTGAAGGAGCCTGTGAGTTCATGAAGTTGAAGAACTGTTGATATGAACAAATTAATAGGAAAATGTTCGGTTTAATAAAGGTTTTAATATTATCGTAGAAAATATTTGCCTACAATAGTATTTTTCCTGCAAGATTTACATAGTCATATTCTTATAAAATTGCCAAAAATGGTCGTCATTTTTGGAAATTTTATAATAAAAGTACCAGGAAACTAACTCTAGTCATTGTGACATTACTTTTTTCCACGGCAAATGAATAGATAATCACCTGTTATGCATTCGCCGAATCAAGAAAATGTTAACATGATGAAGCACTTGAAACACATTCTTATAAACAATTTTCTCACAAGTTAGCAATGCTGAGAAAATAACACATCAACACCTATAACAAAATAAATCGAATGCATTAATGAAAACATTGACTTGTTTTAAAGTAGTCTCGACCCTCATCGGGGTCACGGCTCCAAATTTGAGAGTTCTTGTTTCAAGTAACATTCGTGATACATCAAACACGCAATGATAAAACCGAATAAACTAATTACTTTA